ACGTTACATGGGAGCCCTGGTGGCGCAGTGGTTAAGAGCTCGCCTGCTAACCAAAAAGGACACCAGTTCAAATCGACCAGCCACTCCTTGGAAACCCTGTGGGGCGGTTGTACTTTGCTCTATAGGGTCACTATGAGTCGGAATCGACTCGACAGCAACAGGTTTGGGTTTTGGGTTTTATGTTTGCTTATTTCACATAAGTGGGACTTACAGTATTTGTCCTTTTGTGACTGACTTATATCACTCCACATGATATTTTCAAGGTTCATCCATGTTGTGGCCTGTATCAGCACTTCATTTCTCTTTATGACTGAGTAATATCCCATTGGGAGTATATCCTTTAATCTGTTGATGGACATCCAGGTTACTTCCATCTTTGGGCTATCGTGAAAAGGGCTGCAGTGAACATTGGTGTGCACATTCTGAATTCATATTTAATTTATCAAGACAACAAGAGTCTCTTACCCATAAATAATTTTTTAAAACCCTCTTACTTCCCTGATAAATTTTTTTTTCAAAGAAAATTCTTTTTCTTCGATTACAGATGATTTTTTCCTCTATGCCGTGGTTCTTAACCTTTTGGGGAGAAGGTGAAGGTTAATATGTGCCTGAATTAGCATCTCATGCGGAGATGTTGCAGTCTTCACATGATCTCTCCATTCCAGCGTTCTCAAACTTGAATGCAAAGGGTTTGTAAAAACACCGATTGCTGGGCCCCACCACCAGAGTTTCTGATTCAGTGGGTCTGGGCTGGGGCCTGAGAATCTGCATTTCTAACAAGTTCCCAGGTGATCCTGAAGCTGCTTGTCTGGGAACCCCAATTTGAGAACCACTGATGTATCCCAGCGGACTATCACGGAGAGGATTGCATTTTGTGAAATCTCCCCACGTGGGTGTGACAGCCCACTTAGTAACCACCAACCAACTCTCTTCTCCACCAGCTCACCAGATCCTCTGTAACATTCGGTGTTGGCGCTCTTCACATTCAGGGAAATTTGTAGTTACGCCTTTTCTGTTTTTATGCACCAGATTCTGCTGATGCCAGATACAGATTAGCCTTGTCCTTTCACATACTACTGGTGATTTCTCAGTCTCTCTAACTGTAAAGTAGGAACAGTGAAGTTACTCATCTTTTTATGTCTATCAGGACTGATAAGGATAAGCTAATAATAGCACTAGCACTTTCATAGAAGTTAACACGTGCCAAACACAATTCTAAGAGCTTCATATATGTTAACTCATTTAAGTCTTCACTACAACCCAATGAAGTAGGTGCTATTAACATCCCCATTCTACAGAAGTAGAAACTGAGGCCCACGGAGGTTAAGAAACTCGACTGAGCTCATGCAACTGGTGTGTGGTAGAGCCTAGGCAGTCTGGCTTCAAATCCACCGTGTAACTTCTATCTATCCTGCTGCAATCTGGAAAAGTTAAAGCTATTAATGAACATAGTAATGATCTTTTTTTTAAATTACAAAACCTTTCTGAATTTCCACAGTATTTTACACAATTATAATACACGCATATCGCTGAGTCAGAATCGCCTCAACAGCAACACATTTATACTAAATTTAAACATTATTATCATTAAGCAAGATCACCTAATTGGTTACCGTCGAGGCAATTCTGACTCATGGCAACCCCATGTGTGTCAGAGTAGAACTGTGCTCTGCAGGGTTCGCAATGGCTGACTTTTCAGAAGTAGATTGGCAGGCCTTTCTTCTGAGGCACCTCTTGGGTGGCCTCAAACCTCCAACCTTTCAGTTAGCAGCCAAGCACGTTAACCATTTACACTACCAAGGGACTCCATGAAGCAAAAAGTAGCTTTCAAATATTCCTAAATTCGACCTCTAACTGACTTCCCTTTCACCAGTGAAAATCAAACTCAAAAACCAAACCCATCGCACTGAGTCGATTCTAACCTCAAAGCAACCCTACAGGACAGAGTAGAACAGCCCCACAGCGTTTCCCCAAGGAGCAGCTGGTGGATTTGAACTGCTGACCTTTTGTTTGGCAGCTTGAGCTCTTAACCACTGCACCACCAGGGCTCCAGAGAAAATCAAGAGGGCTCTATTTCAAAGTTTATCATATGACAGAAGGCTTCATGATTGGTTGAAAGATAGCCTTTCCATTAATTTTGGAAAAACAAACGGAAACAAAAAAATCCCAGTACTCCTCGGAGGAGGTCATCAAAACTTGGCAACAGAGGGCTGAGGAGATAATGCGTTAGACTCTCCTGTGATCCTGTTCAGATGTGACTCAAGACAGAACCAGGTCCTCTTCTCCCCTTTTGTCCGTTCAAATAGCTCTTCAGGGAGGAACATTAGGAAGAACAGCATTAACGTATTTACTATTTGGGAGTAAAATAGTACTCAAAAGATCCAAGAATATTCATTCAAGATATCCAAGAATAAAAAAAGGGTTAGATCAATCAATTTATAGGGAAAATGTCCATAATCTAAAGTGAGTCCAAACTCTGAAGCTAAAAGTGTTAAAGACCGATAACACTGAATTTCACTCAAATTCTAATTCTCAAACTCATCCTTTCTCCCTTGGCTCCAGTGTAGAAGCCCTGAAATCCCTTCCCAGGTGTCCATTTTAATAGTTCAACCTACACGGCCTTGTAGTAACGGAGGCCACGCGATACCAAATCTTCACAACATTTTGACAAATTAAATTCTCTTGGTTGGGTTGTACCAAACTGTGCTATTTTGAAGTGCCAGCGTCTTACATTTCAGCTTAATTTTGATCTCCATATTATTGATCTAACATATTGTAATACGTTACATCTAACATATTATAATATTTCATTTTAAATATATCTTTTTAAAATGCATGAACAAGGGACAGTTGTTGCTGTTTTTTCAATACTTAGCGTTTCTATTTAATTGAATTATAATATTTTAGAGCTTAAAAATTAGACATAATTTCAATTCATAAAATCATAAACAGTTGCAACTACAAAGTATTATTTTAATGTGTCAAACAGAAGTTAAGAACCCAGATTCTAGACCTGCCTTGCCCAGCAACTGGCCATGTTGTTGTGAGCGGTCGAGTCGATTGTGACTCATAGTGACCCTACAGGACAGAGTAGAACTGCCCGATGGGGATTCTTAGGCTGTAATCTTTATGGGAGCAGATTGCCAGGTCTTTTCTGCCACGGAGCAGCTGGTGGGTTTGAACCGCCAACCTTTTGGCTAGCAGTCGAGGGCTTAACCATTGCACAACTTGGCCATGTGACCTCAAGCAAATAACAACCCCTCAGACGCTTAATGTCCACATCAGAAAAAAAGAGAGGGTAACCAAATGTACAGAATATTAGAGACAGGATTATAATTAAAAACCTAGTGGTTCCCAATCTGGGGTTCCCAGGCTAGCCAGATTCATGATGCTTTTCAGTGGATGATGACGAAGAGCTATTTTCCTGACAAGAGTTCTGTAAGTGTCCCCATCGAGGGCATCGGGTTACAAAGTGGCAGTGAGAAGAAAGTGATTAATTATGGAAATAAATAAATGAACTGGCCACTTAAACAAAAAATTAGTCCCCACTCCATCCCCTAGTTAACACTAGATCTAGCCCTGCCTTTGCCTTTAACATTTTTGTTCTCCTGTCACTTGATGCTGGTCACATGCTGTGATCTTTCAACCCGGTAACGCAAAGGCAGTGTAAAAATCAACTGCAAAGTGAAATCCAAAATCCTGCAAGAGGATGATGAGACTACAAAGGAGAATGATTTGAATATTAAAAGATCTAAGGATATCTTTGGGCCTTGTTTATTTGCCCCTCTTCCTCCTGCCCTCATGCCCAAAGGAAAAAAAAAGACCTTCTTGCAAACTTGCAGAGAAAGTTCTCGTCATCGTTCGATGATACTTTTAGGTACAGATATACCCTTAGCTTCAAGTATAACCAAAATAAAATAAACTTATTTCCATAATTTTAAATTGCAACCTTCAAAGTAAGTGACCTCTGTTTTACATGGCTGCACTTTAAATGGCTTTTTTCTGGAAGCAATTATTCTCATGTAACCAGCACAGCTTATATATTTTTTCTTTTTCTAAATTTCATTTAGTTTGTTGTTGGTGAGACTACACACAGCAAAGGGTACACCAATTCAAAACAGTTTCCACCTGGACAATTTAGTGACATTGATTGCATTCTTTGAGTTGTGCAACCATTCACTACTTATATTTTAAAAGGCCCGATAGAAATAATAAATTTAATCACCATAAACGTGTAAGGTGGAGGGTCAGCGAAAAAGAGCAAGACCCTCAACAATGGGCTCAAACATAACAATGATTGTGAGGATGGCGCAGAACAGGGCAGCGTTTTGGTCTGTTGTACGTGGGAAGCGACTCGACAGCACCTAACAACAACAACAAAATCTGTACAAGTTAACGAAAACAGCAATATTGTTTGGTCTCAGCGAGCAGTGTATCCACCCGGTGTGGTAATCCTGGTGTTTTACGCTGATCAGAAGCAATGATTAATATGTTTCATTAATAAAACTCTGAGTGCTCAGGGGACACTGAGCTGTTGAAGGTAATGGAAAAATTTAGGAAGGGCAAACGGTGATGACTGAATATGACGAGCATAAAGTCACTGAATTGTACGTAAGATTGTAGAAAGGGTTCATGTTTCACCCGCGTATTTACCACAATCAACGGCACCCAACAACAAAGACTAAACTCGTCCTGACGTACTGCAGGAAAAGGGAAATCAAGGTGCACATCAGAGGAACTCTACAAGAGTAAATGTATGTAACAAACAAACAAACTGAAAGTCTAAATAATTAAGGAAAGCAAACATGCCTTTTCTGATAACTGCAGTTGTGAGGTGTCATCCAGCGGGTTCCCACTCACAACAACCCTCTGTTGGTGCCGGACCATCCCCACAGTCCTTGCTGTGTTTGACCTCGTTGGTAATTAAAGATGGAATGAATCATAAAAAAACGAATATTGCCTCCAACGTTTATTTTCCCACAAGGTAAACTAAAGCGAAACCCACTCAGGCTGCATCCTCTTCCCCTGTCTCCCCAAAAAAAGAAGAGAAAAACGACCATCACAGCAAATCTCAGCTGCAAAAAGCATGGCCAAAAACCAACTTCCACGCTCAGAACAAAACGCCACGCCTCCTTTTCGCGATTGTGGTGCCTCACACGCTCAGGAAACCTTTCCAGGTGGGACCACAGAGCCTCTGCTGGGTCTGTGGAAGCCACGCACATCCCACTGGTGGCAATAAAGTTTCCATTTACAATTGTACCATGAACGTGTTAGGCAAATAAGTCCTGCAATACATTCCATTATTTTCAAAAGTTACCATTCAACAGCGCATTTTTAACTTTTTAAGTGGAAATGTAAAGTGTTTAAAAAGAACATGAAACAGCCAGGCTTAGTTAACATAACCCTGGAAGCACAGCTAATCACAGCCGCCATCTTTCAAGGTGTTTGCGGGCAGTTCCGGGAAAGCGCCCCCTACGGGAGCCAAAGGGAAGGGCGGCTTGGCCTCGGCTGGTGAGATCAGACTGAGCTGGGCAGTTAGAAAACCTTGGCGTTTGCAGGCAACCGCATCAAACCGACAAGACTGGGTGGCTGAGACCTAGGGCTGAAAAACAAAACTACTTTCCCTTTATCCCATATGTGGATGGTTGTCAGGTGCCATCCAGTCGGTTCCGACTCATAGCGACCCCATGTACAACACAACGAACACTGCCCTGTAGGGCGCCATCCTCACAGTCATGGCTATGTTTGAGCCCATTGTTGCAGCCACTGTGTCGATCCATCTCGTTGAAAGTCTACCTCTCTTTCACTGACCCTCTACTTTACCAAGCATGATGTCCTCCAGGGACTGGTCCCTCCTGATAATGTATCCAAAGTACATGAGAGGAAGTCTCACCATCCTTGCTTCTAAGGAGCATTCTGGCTGCACTCCTTCCAAGACAGATTTGTTCGTTCTTTCGGCAGTCCATGGTATATTCAATATTCTTCACCTACACCATAATTCAAAGGCATCAATTCTTCTTTGGTCTTTCTTATTCACTGTCCAGCTTTCATATGCATATGAGGTGACTGTGAATGCCATGGCTTGGGTCAGGTGCACCTTAGTCCTTAACTCAAGGTGACATCTTTTGCTTTTTAACACTCTTCAGTTTTGCCTTTTGATTTTGTACCGTATGCCCGCACTACCTGTTGACACATTATGATTTTTAAAATAAAGCCAGTTGTTTGGTGAAAAAAAAACCTGAGAAAGGAATCAGCAGCCATTATAAGGAGCCCTGGTGGCACAGTGGTTAACAGCTCGGCTATTTACCAAAAGGTCAGCAGTTCGAATCCACCAGCCGCTCCTTGGAAACCCTATGGGGCAGTTCTACTCTGTCCTGTAGGGTCATGTGAGTCGGAATTGACATGACGGCAAAGGGTTTTTAGACGCGGTTCGGTTAGCAAAATTTTCAAAAGCTGGGGCCCGTGGTCAGAGTCCCTGGGTGACGCAAACCGTTAAGCCCTTGACTACTAACCGAAAGGTTAGTGATTCAGACCTACCCAAAGGTGTTTCAAGAAGTCCCAGCGGCCTTCTTCCGAAAGGTCCCAACCTTGAAAACCCTATGGAGCAGTTCTGCTCTGCACACATGGAGTCACCGTTGAGTCGGAATCAACTGCAGGGCAACTACACATATACGAACCCTTACATTTTACAGAAGTGGAAATAATGCCAAATGAGGTTGCAACTTGCCAAATCCCCTTCCAGCTCTGAATTTTACTTGTTTAGTGAATCTGTGCTACATTCCTAAACTTCCCTATACTACACGATTCAACAAATCTCCCTGGCAGTAAAAATATTCCACCTCAATTCCTTATGATTCAGCTAAAAGCCATTTCCTCTGTAGGTAAATTCCATTCCATCAGACCTTAGGAAAGCGACCGATTACTGAAAACAATCCATGGCTTGTGTTATAACAGGCTAGCATTCGGGCTTGGTTACCTTAGCACAATAATCTCTACTAGTAAAATATACTTAGGAAAGCATTTGTGACTTGTGCATTAAATCCCTCTCATAGAACAGGCTTTAAATAACGAGGACAAGGAGTTTGGCAAAAGCATTTTGTGTTCTGCCAAATCCAGTATGCAGGGCAAAATGGTTTATGAAATTCTCCTAAGATTAAAGCACTGGTTTGTTCTTTTCTCTCTGATTTCTTTGTCCTCCCTGAGGACAAAGCTCTTCATAATTTATAATATTTAAATTCTCAAGGGTGCTTTTTATCACAACCCTCCCCCCCGGCCCCACCCCGGTTTTCTAGAAAATGGAAAAAGATGTTAATTGAAAACTAAGAAATAATAAAAATATGCATTTAAATGATCACATGCTTAGCATTGCTAAGAATCAGTTTGGAGATGCCCGACGAATAAGACTTTTTTTCCCCTATGCATCACCTTAACATTCTCACAGAAAATTAAAGATTAAAATTAAGGAGAATGCCCTAAAAAGCTGCTGTGACCGACCTAAGCCACCTTGATTGCACATAACTCTACCGACCTACAGACCTTGGGGTGAGAGAAGGTTGGCTCCGTTCTAACAAACTGGCTACCACTGTATAATGAAAGCACATCTCAGACCAAATTTTTGCCAGACAAATTGACATTTATTTAACAAACACTGAGTAACAAGCAGTCTCCAAAACAGTTCTTACAACCTGTTCTTCTAACTTGAAGAAGTGCCAGCTCTCTGTCCTTTAGTTGTTCTGCGTGAATGTTCACTCAGATAGACCACACAGTAGTCCACAGGCGGGATTCTGTGTCTTGCAGTCAACTTCAGACAGGCAGACATCCTCACAACCAATGAATGGACACACAATCGTGCAGGGATCCAGCCTCAGACCCCTAGTCTATCTATGCGCACAGGTTCTGGGCTTCGCTGGATCCATGCAAGGGTTAAAGGTGTCGCTAAAATATTTTAGCAATCCATGACTACCTTTAATGTTACCAATGATGGCCTGTTGTGGATTCAATTGTGTTCCCAAAAATATGTGTCACCTTGGCTAGGCCATGATTCCCAGGATTGTGTGGTTGTCCTCCATTTTGTGATCTGATGTAATTGTCCCATGTGTTGTAAATCCTAGTATCTGCCTGTGGTTAATGAGGCAAGACTGAGTTATGTTAAAGAGGATTAGGGTGGGAAGCAACACCCTTACTCGGGTCAGAGCCCTGATCTGATGTAAGGAGAGTTTCCTTGGTATGTGGCCTGCATCACCTTTTATCTTACAAGAGATAAAAGGAGAGAGAAGTGAGCAGAGACAGAGGGACCTACAGCCACCAAGCAAGAAGAGCCAGGAGTGGAGCGCGTCGTTTGGACCCGGGGTCCCTGCACTGAGAAACTTGTGGACGCAGGGGAAGATTGATGACAAAGACCTTCCCCCAGAGCCAACAGAGAGAGAAAGTCTTCCCCTGGAGCCAGCACCCTTAATTCAGACTTCTAGCCTCCTAGACTGTGAGAGAATAAATTTCTGTTTGTTGAAGCCATCCACTTGTGGTATTTCTGTTATAGCAGCACTAGGTGTCTGAGACATGGCCCATATCCAACATTCATCATGCCCATAAATAAAACATGAATTTCCCAGCTAAAAACCATTTCTGACATTAGGTATGCTAATTAGCCAAGTCTCAGGTGTTGAGATACAGATAGCTGAAGTACTTGTACTACTTACCACTGCAAATTTGTATTTTCTGATAAATTGCTGGCTGACCATCTCTGGAATCTCCATTAAGGCAACCGACCACTCCCTTCAGTTAAAGCTGAAGCTAACAGACACTCACACGTGATAATATATTGTCTGTGCTGGAGCCTTTTAAAATAGATTACAGACTTCATAACCAAGATTTGATTATTATTATTAGACATTTTGAGATAACATTTCTAGAAGTAACCAGTGAAATAACAAAGGATGTTTAGAATCCATTTTGCGTTTCTAAAGCTATGGATGTTTCTTGGTTTGGGGAGTTAATTTTCGTTTTACTATATATATTTCATGTTATCATCAATTTTTACCAGTATGACTCTGTCAATACTATTCACGGTAAAGATCTTGAATACTTCTTTTACTGCTGTGTTAGACTTGGAAGTCACTATATTCTGTCTTTATTGCTGCGGATTTAAAGCACTCACAGAGAAAGAAGGTTTTGTAAACAAGGCGGTCTTTAAAGGAAAAGAAACGCCACTGTGCTTTGCTTTCCCTGTTTAATGCTAGTTGCTAAGCATTAAAACGGTGAAAACTATTTTTAAATTTAAAAGCATTTGCATTATCTCACTCTTATGAATTCATATGTACACAGAGGCATCTACTGAAATAGTGAACAGGATTTGACACTGAGTCGGGAGAAGTAACCGTCACGGCCAGCCTTCTAAGGAAGCATATCCCAAACTGGCATTCCAGAAAAAAACTGGGAAATGCTAGAAAGAGTGGTTTAAATGCCGTTGTCCTTTAAGTCTGTATGTCAAGGAAAGTAAACTGGCAGTGATTTGTTGAGTCCTCATTCTGTGTCAGTCACTGTGCCAAGTACTTTACATCCAATGTTTTATTACGTATATTCATAATAAGCCTATCAAGGATGGCAGCAGTACGCAGTTATTTAAACAAAAGGCATTGAAACCATGCAGACCTGGGTTCAGATCCTAGCTCCACCACTCTATCTCTGGGATCTTTGTCAAATAATTTCACTTCTCTGAGCCTCGGTTTCCTCATAAGTAAAATCTACTATTTACCTTATGGGGCATGTGTATGTGTGTGTGTGTGTGTGTGTGTGTGTGTGTGTGTGTATGTGTGAATGGTTGGCATAGAGTCATCGCTAAAAAATAGTGTCATTTTCTTATTGCTAATCAGTTAGTATTTCTAGCAAAAAAAATATAAACATAATCATTCATGTATTGGTACTGAGACCAGTTTAAATTTTTTTTTTAAATGAAATGTTCCATTAACAAATAACCCAAAAGTAGAAGTTAGCATGAAATATCCTGAAAAAAAGAATCGTTTGCAAACAGCAAAACAGCAAGTGAGGAGTCCTCATAAAGTTTATATAAGTAGAAAAGGGGAAAATGAAATTCAGCGTGGGCAGTATTAATTTATCTATTCCGTATGTATTATCATGAACCTATTATGTATTCTGTCCTGAGCCCAGCTGATAGAAAGATAAATTTAACACATTTTCTACCCTTACAAA